TAAATATATATATATATATATATATATATATATATATATATATTATTGACAAATTTTATAAAGTAATTGAAAATCAACGGAAACTTCGACGTTTAGAGTCTAAGATCCACTTTAGTAGTGTCAGTTTCAATTCGGCTCACTTAGAACCTGGCTCACCGGGCTGAACCCGTGGTGAGCCGAGTTGGCTCACCAATCCACCTAATTTAATTTAATTATTTATTATTTTGTGTTTCAATATTATTAGTTAGCATCTTTTTTATTATATTGAAGTTGGTGATAAAGAAAAATATATTTCAAGAGGGAAAATTATTATAAATTTATCTATTCAAGATTCTAATATTATAAATGGAAAAGTGACACAAAAATTATCAATATTAAAAACTTGTTTGTTCGCCTTTAGTACATGTTTTTGGACTTGGGTTGTATGATATTTTATTTATTTATTTTGAACTGTCTTTCGAGTTTAACATTATTTTAGTGTAACGTGTATTTAGATTTGAATTAAAAAAATTATAATTGTTTTATTTAAAAAAAACTTATAATTAAATGAGTCAGTGAGCCAACCCGTTTAATCCACCAACCCGTGGTGGGTTAGGCCGGGTTCAAAATTTTTCAGTTCGCTAATAAGTGAGCCGGGTTGGGTTGTCTCATTATATTTGTTCACTTGAATGAATTTGGGGGAGAGTGATTGAGTGAATTTGAGAGGATTTGAAGATAAATTTTTTTGTTGTTTATTTGAGTGAATTTGGAGGTAAGTGAGATTGAATTTGAAAGCAACTTTTGTGAGAATTAGTGTAAAATTTGAATGATTTGACAGATTAAAAAAATTTACTTTCAAATCCACTCTCACTTACCTCCAAATTCACTTAAATAAACAACAACAAAATTTTTTTTAAATCCTCTCAAATTCACTCAATCGATCTCCCTTAAATCAATTCAAGTGAACAAAAATGACCAACCCATGGTGAGTCGGACTGGATCGAGTCGGATTATCTGTTTTTACAACTCTAATTTTGAGGACGCTAAATACGATTAGCATAGGCTTTTCTCAGTTTGCATGAATTTATTGAGATGCATTTAAACTTTTTTTTGTAATGTGAATGGTTAGCAAGTTAGATATAAAAAATCTACCTTAAAAATTTACAAAGAAAATGAAACCTACACCAATTAGTACTATGTATATACACATGATGATGTGTGGTCTTTTTTGTTTGCAAATACCCATNAAAAAGGAGATGAATGAATAAGAACCTGGATGGAGAAGACAAGGATAGTCCGATCAAGTTGGGAGTAAAAATTGAAGCTTTGGGATATGAAGAAGTTGATATGGAGGAGAAGAGATGTTGAAGTGTTGGATGATGGTGGAGTATGGAGAAGAGATGTATTGTTTAAGAGAAGAATGAAGTAGAGTTTTGGAATAGAAATGAAGAGGTTTAGTGTGAGAGAGAAGAGATTGATATTATGTAATTGTATATGTGTAAAATGGAGTGAAGAGAATGTGGGTATTTATAGAGATATGGATGGAGAAAATTGATGAAGAAAAATAATATAATAAGTGGGTGGAAAAATTAGATGAAATGAAATAATAAAAAAAGTAAATAGTAAAAGTTGGTGTGGAAAATAAGTGAAAGAAATAATATAAAAAGCGGGTGGAGAAATTAGATAAAGAAAGTAGATGGAGAAAATAATAAAATATGTTGGTGGAGAAGGTGGTAAATAAAATATAATTTAGAAAAGTGATGGAATAAATAAAAGTTAGTAAAACAAATTAATATAAAAGTGGGATGGAAAAGTAGATGGAGAAAAATGGATGAAAAGAAATAATAAAATAAGTTGGTGGAGAAGGTGGTGGATAAAATATAATTGGTTTAATTGATTCGAAGGTCCCCATTTCTGCAGATTTGCGTCAATTAGGTGTTCCTATTTTGAAAGAGCTGAACTGAGTCCTTTTTTACGTAAATTTGATGATTTGTTGAACTTGTTCTTTCTTTGTGGACCTTATTCATATATTTTTCATAACATAGGGATCCAATGTCTTCATTTTTAAAACCGGATACTAAACAAAAATTCAGGAGACAAAGTAAGCATTTAAGCCTTTAATTTATTTAAATTGTCTTAAGAAATTTATATTTATGTGAGAAAATTATTAAAAGAACGATTTATGATAAAAAACTATTTCACCCCCTCTTGCTTTATTGAACGCGTTAACCATTCTGCTACACCAACGTTTAAAATTTTTTAAATAAACTTAATAAAATTTGGTTAAAATGACTAAATTAACGCAGTTTTAAAAATAAGGAACTAAATAAGTCCATAGTTTCGAAAATAGACTAATTTCAAATTTTACTGAAAATTAAGATACAAAAAACATATTTATTTATTTTCTTTTTCTTCTTCTTTTTTTCCCTCCTCAATCGTCACTACCTCCTCAGCCACCTCTAGCTCCTCTCCATTCTCTTCCTCCCAATGTTCTTCCTCCCCATCTTCTTCTCCTCCTCTTCTCTTTTATCCTCTTCTCCTCCTCTTCTCTTTTATCCTCTTCTCCTTTTCTTCCTTATCATCTTCCTCCTCTTTTATCGTTATTGTTGCCATCATCGTGTCTACCTCCGAAACGGTTGTCATCGACTTTGGCACTGCCATCGTCACATCTTCTCTTTCAAAAAAAGTCCAATTATAAACGAATTTAAAAAAAAAAATCCACTATTGATAAACTTACTAATAACTTTTCCTAAAAAAATATTACTGACTAATTTTACGATATAATATTGATTACCAAAAAATACATTTAGTAAAGGTCTATCAACATTTAAAAAAGATTACCAAAAAATTACTGATAGAATTAAAAAAATGTCCACTACCGATAAGCTTATTAATAATTTTTAAATATATATATATATATATATATATATATATATATATATATATTATTGACAAATTTTATAAAGTAATTGAAAATCAACGGAAACTTCGACGTTTAGAGTCTAAGATCCACTTTAGTAGTGTCAGTTTCAATTCGGCTCACTTAGAACCTGGCTCACCGGGCTGAACCCGTGGTGAGCCGAGTTGGCTCACCAATCCACCTAATTTAATTTAATTATTTATTATTTTGTGTTTCAATATTATTAGTTAGCATCTTTTTTATTATATTGAAGTTGGTGATAAAGAAAAATATATTTCAAGAGGGAAAATTATTATAAATTTATCTATTCAAGATTCTAATATTATAAATGGAAAAGTGACACAAAAATTATCAATATTAAAAACTTGTTTGTTCGCCTTTAGTACATGTTTTTGGACTTGGGTTGTATGATATTTTATTTATTTATTTTGAACTGTCTTTCGAGTTTAACATTATTTTAGTGTAACGTGTATTTAGATTTGAATTAAAAAAATTATAATTGTTTTATTTAAAAAAAACTTATAATTAAATGAGTCAGTGAGCCAACCCGTTTAATCCACCAACCCGTGGTGGGTTAGGCCGGGTTCAAAATTTTTCAGTTCGCTAATAAGTGAGCCGGGTTGGGTTGTCTCATTATATTTGTTCACTTGAATGAATTTGGGGGAGAGTGATTGAGTGAATTTGAGAGGATTTGAAGATAAATTTTTTTGTTGTTTATTTGAGTGAATTTGGAGGTAAGTGAGATTGAATTTGAAAGCAACTTTTGTGAGAATTAGTGTAAAATTTGAATGATTTGACAGATTAAAAAAATTTACTTTCAAATCCACTCTCACTTACCTCCAAATTCACTTAAATAAACAACAACAAAATTTTTTTTAAATCCTCTCAAATTCACTCAATCGATCTCCCTTAAATCAATTCAAGTGAACAAAAATGACCAACCCATGGTGAGTCGGACTGGATCGAGTCGGATTATCTGTTTTTACAACTCTAATTTTGAGGACGCTAAATACGATTAGCATAGGCTTTTCTCAGTTTGCATGAATTTATTGAGATGCATTTAAACTTTTTTTTGTAATGTGAATGGTTAGCAAGTTAGATATAAAAAATCTACCTTAAAAATTTACAAAGAAAATGAAACCTACACCAATTAGTACTATGTATATACACATGATGATGTGTGGTCTTTTTTGTTTGCAAATACCCATTCATGCAAGTTACTAAGATTCCTTTCAAAATTTAGTTTAATGAAGTTAATAGATTATCTGTATCAGTAGTCAACCGTTACACGTGAAAGCGACTGTAATATGGGTTCCTTGCTTTCCCGACGCAGCCATAATCGCCCAGCAAAATTTATTAAGACAATTCTTTACGGGAAATTACTTCAAAGAAAGTTAAATAATTGCTGCCAAACTCATTTTTTTAGTGTACAATTTTTTTTTTATCTATGTGGAAAATTCTTGGTAAAATAAACAAAATCAACTTTTTTATATCAAATAAACAAAATCATCTTATATAACTTTTTTCTATCTTTACATTATTTCTGTCTAATTATTAAAAAATTCTTGGAATAAAATATAAATTTAATGGCTTCTAGTAAATTTATATAGTAAAAGGAAACATATTCAATTGGAAGAATGTTATGAAATGTGAAAAACATATTAAAAAATATATGTTTTAAAAATTTATCAAATTATTAGCACCAGTTAGATATGCATTTATTCCCTGTCTTTTATATTTTGTGTCTTAGAAACTAATATATGTCAATATATGGTAAAATAATTCACTAGAAAAATTAAACATAATATATATGAGGTGTGGGAAGATTAAATTTAATGATCAAGCACTTGCTAGGTGTTAGAATCCTACTAAGAAGTTTTCAAGAACTGATACGTGTCTTTTTGCATGCACACATGCATTCATATTTCCCTATGATCCTCAACAACTTAAACAGAGGAAATTAAGCAATAACTTCACGAGAAGAGTGATGACAAGCTCCAGCGTGTAGCTCGAGTCTCATACAATCAATATTTTAATCATCATAAATCTTGTTGAAGAGAACACAGTAATGCCTATAAATTGCTACATGCATGAAGAGTCTATAACACATCACAAAACTCATAAGAAAAAAATCTGCAAAACTAAAGAATGGCTTATGCTAGGCTTGCTCCTTTGGCTCTCTACTTGCTCGCCACTTCCAGTACGTAGCATTTCTTTTTTTTTCATCATTTCTTGTTATGTGTTTCAGAACTACACATAATTATATATCGTGTTCGTTTGTTCTGACTTTGAAACATCATTGTTAGTAATGTTTCCGATGAAGATGATAGAAGCAGCAGACTGTTCAGGTGCTTGTTCACCGTTTGAGATGCCACCGTGCGGGTCAACTGATTGTCGCTGTATCCCTATTGCACTATTTGCTGGTTTTTGCATTAATCCAACTGGAGTTTCATCTGTGGCGAATATGATAAATGAACATCCGAACTTATGTAAATCTGATGATGAATGCATGAAGAAAGGAAGTGGCAACTTCTGTGCTCGTTATCCCAATAACTACATGGATTATGGTTGGTGCTTTGACTCTGATTCTGAAGCTCTTAAAGGCTTCTTGGCTATGCCTGCAGCAATCACCAAGTAATACGTCTGTGCCTCTGAAAAAGTGGTCATGCATGATGCATCTTCTACTACTTTATTAAAAAAAAGCTTATGATGCATCTACTGCTATAAATAAAACGAGTGTTCACCAACTCATATTGTTGGTTACTGTAGACTCCTGCCACTTGAGTTAATAAACAAGAGCGTTTTGAGTAATTTCTTTTTGTGGAAATACGTAAGAAAAAAGGAGACATAGTTACATCAAGAAAAGAAAAATTGGTTGATTGGTACATCAGTTTGTTAACCAAATACAACTGCTGGTTGCTTAAAATAGCACTGAACCTTAGCAGATGACAAAAGAATTCAACAGAATAAAGAGCATCTAAACTTTTGCTTCTAGCAAACACAGTCAAAATTATTATAAGAATAAGCATAATGGGATGTAAGCTTAACATGTAATGTGACTTTTGCACACACCTCATTATGAAATAAACAAGAAATTTTGTTAAAATAAATCATGAGCATCACTTTAAATCAAATGACTCACTATAAAATCGGCTTGTAATTGTAAATATTAAATGAGTTTACAAGAAGAATCTACTTATATATTATAAAATCGTTTTATTTTTAATCCACTTATATATATTATAAAATCATTTTATTTTTAATCTTCTTATATATATTATAAAACCATTTTATTTTTAATCGGTATTGAACTTCAATAAACATGTTTCAATATGTTAAATCTAAAAATATTATTACCTAAAACTCAAAATTATGTGTGCCTATATATAAAAGTTAATGATGACGTATGTTAAAATGGTGTGATTTAAATTTGTTTTCTGATTTATTTTGTCTTTGTTGACATGATATCTGATTAATACTGATAAGAAGATTAAAATATTTACATGAACACTATTATTTCATAGTTATCCATAAAAATATGACATCTTCTAATATTTTTTGATACAAAGTTCAATGTCAAAGTAAAAACAATAGAATCCAAAACAAGAACGTAGGCAATTACATACCGATAAGTAATTACAGGTAACTTATCTATATATTTTACCTATAAATTATCCTTATGTAATTATCTACATATTTATTTGTATATACAATAATTTTATCTATGAATTTTTGTTCTTAGTTAATATTATTTTGCCTATGAATTTTGATTCTTACCTACGAATTTTAGTGGTAGATAATAACCTTTTTTTAGTGATTTTTTTCTTCTCCTTCTCTCTTTTATTCTTCTTCTTTTCTCCCTTATCATCTTTCTCTACTTTCATAGTTGTTGTCCCATTGGCTTTGTCTCCGTAGCCGTTGGCATCGCCTTTGTCACTATAATCTTCCACCTTTTCTTATTTCTTTTCTTCTTCTCTTCCTTTTTTCCTTCTATTCTTCCTCTCACCAATCTTTATGTATTTCATAACAAAAGTTTTGTTATATTTTGTGAAAAAATTAACACTCATTTTACCGAAAAAGTTACCAACAGATTTAATTAAAATACATTTAGTACAGATTTATCGACATTTTTAAAAAAATATTGCAAAAAAAATTAATGATAAATTTTTAAAAACTTCAATTATAAACGAATTTTAAAAAAAATTGTCCTTACTAATAATTTTTTTTAAAAATAAAATACTAACTAATTTTAGAACATAATTGATTACCAAAACTACATTTGTTAAAGGTTTGTCCACATTTAAAAAAAGAATTACCAAAAAAATTTACTGATAGAATTTAAAAAAAAAATGTCCACTACTGATAAACTTATTAATAAATTTTACAAAATATGTATATTATATTGACTAATTTTATAACATAATTGAAACTTAAAGCGGAAATTTTGACGTAGAGTATAAGGCCCACGTTAGTAGTGTCAGTTTTTTAGTATAGTATGACACAAATAGTTATAATTTGTAGATTTTGAGGTCGCTTAGTGATTAGCGTAGGCTTTTCTCCGTTTGAATGAACTTATTGAGTTGCTATTTATATTTTTTCTTGTGAGCAAGTTAGATATACAAAATCTTTCTTAAAAATTTACAAAGAAAATTAAACCTACACCGATTACTACTATATATGTATAGGTCTTTTTTGTATGCAAATACCCATTTCTGCGAGTTACTAAGATTCCTTTCAAAATTTAGTTTAATGAAGTTAATAGATTATCTGTATCAGTCAACAGTTACACGTGAAAGCGACTGTAATACGGGTTCCTTGCTTTCCCGACGCAGCCATAATCGCCCAACAAAATTTATTTAAGACAATTCTTAACGGGAAATTGCTTCAAAGAAAGTTAAATAATTGCTGCCAAACTCATTGCTTTAGTGTACAAGAGTTTTCTTTTTATATATGTGGAACATTCTTTCTAAAATAAATAAAATCAACTTTTCTTACATCAAACAGAAAAAGTATTCTAAAGTACTTGGAATAAAATCGTCTTATATAATTCTTTCTCTCTTTACATTATTTCTCTAATTATTAAAAAGTTCTTGAAAATTTGATGGCTTATAGTAAATTATACAGTAAAAGGAAGTGTTTTTGTTGTCTAGGGTCAAGGTGGTCTCCTTTACTTACCTTGCTCATCTTCTCACGATCATCTTCACTTCTCCAAGTTTTGCTTCAGAACTTATTGGTGTCTCAGAGTTGACTTGCAAAAAAAATTCTGATATTCAAGTTAGATATATTTATTTAGAGAGTCTATATAAAAAGATCATCTAAAGGGTTTCTTTACCGAGACATCAAATCGATATTTATAGAGCTTATGGTAATTAAACCTATTAATTGATCCTTAAAAGTCGTTAATATACTTGTTAACTTTATGACAATTATCCCACTAATTAGCTTTTAATCATCTTCAATGACTAACCATTAATTAGCTTTTAATCATCTTCAATGACTAACCATATTGATCGCCCTACAACATATCAATTGATAGCCTGCCTGAACATATCATCAATTGGCATACCATGTAGTACACAACCCCCAAGCCTGAGCAACTTAATAGAGTTGCGATTGTATCGAAGATAAAGGGGATGACACTGAACAACAGTTACCTGAGCATTTATCAATAAAAGTAATTGTTGGTCATGGGTGATGAACCAATATTTTCCTCACTTCACTTAGTTTATTGTACTGTAATTAATCAGGAAATTGTGCTTAATTGTCCAGTATTTTTCCATTTTTCTTCATTATGCTTAATTCGATCAGAAATTCTTATTTTAATTAATTTGAATTATCTGAGCTAATTATTTGCATTAGTAATTGGAGAGAAAATTTTGGAAATACAATTTGGAACATTTGAAGGTTAAATGAGAAATGGCAATTGAGCCCAATGCATCTCAGCCATTTCAATTTTCGCACAGTGTTGCGTGAATGTTGTGTCAACTTGTCTGTCTTTGTTCGAGTTCAATTCTTATCCGTTTTTCATGAAATTTTTTTCATAGTTTCGTCTAGATGTCTATTTTCACGTATATATAGTTTTTATTTTGTTCAAATTCATTATGTGCTGTTTCCAGTATTTTTTTTACTCCCCTATGTTAGTCTAGTGCTTACTGTTTGAGTGACTTCTAATTTGTTTGCATTGTTTGCTTGTTGTTTGATACTTGTGGTGGCTGGAATTGATCATTGGGCGGTGCTAAGACCTCCCAACACTCAAGGATTCAACACTCATATTGGCACATTTTATAGCTCATTTCAAGAAGTAATATTGGCTGGTTTGGAAACCATGCTAAAACTCACAGCACATGAAATCTTCTTTCTCTTTGCAGGTGAATGTGAATGGGAGACAACAAAAGATGAAGGGGGGCCACACTCTTGAAAGTTCACGGCCATACCACCTTGGCTCATTGGAAAATTCAGCAAGCATCACATGTTGAATGGAGTGCCACGGCTGCAAAATCATTGATTTCAATTGGCTTCTTGGCCTTTGAAGAAAAAAACACACGGGACCACCACTCATGGCAAAGTTCACGTCCATACATGTGCTGCATTTTATTCAATTACCACCAAGTGCAAGTTCACGGTTCTCTCAAAACAACTCTTTGCTCTCATAAAAAATTTCAACAAATGAAGTAGAATAACAAGGGGACCACATTCCTTGAGAAGTCACGGCCATGGGAGAGAGTTGCAACATTAAATGTTACATTTTATTCAATGAAAGAGAAGTGGTACACACGGCCCACATGGGAAAAAGAAGTGCAATGTTTTCTCTTTTAAATGGCTTAGCATGTACATAAGGACAAACTTTTTGGCAAACACAAAAGCATATAATGGAGATGAAGGGGACCATGTTGTTTGCCAGCAAAGTCTTCCTCAACTAGTTTTTAACAAATTTCTTATTTACAGATTCAAAACAGTAACATATAATATTAACACCGAAATTCCACATAGATAGATATACAGTAAGCATTAACACTATTTACACAGAATTTCAAAACCTCTACTCTTCTTTCAACTAAAAATTTCTCCCTAACTCTTTCTTCTCTATTTCTCAAGCTCTCACTTGATTCCTCTTTTCTTGGTGTAGAATACCCTTCCCTCCCATGGCTATTTATAGGTAAAAAAAAAGTTACTATTCATTAATTTTTTAATATTATTTATTATTTTAATATTATTTAAAAATAATATTTTAATCATCCACTTGATTAAATCTGATCATGATTTCTTTCATGCTAAGGAATTCTTATTCTAATTCCTTCCATGCTAAGAAATTCTTATCTTTTTTTTTCACTATTCACTATTCACTTTTTATTAATGAATTACTATAATTTGAACATCTCCCTCTAGAATTACTATAATTTATATCCAAAATTTACATTTTTCTACCCATTAAAATTATTATTACTAATAAAATGCTAAAATTTACTGTTATAAATATTTTTCATGAGTCTTACAAATTAAGCTACCCAAATTTTTTATTAATCTTTCCACATTTTATAAACTTATTATATTTTTCATTCACAAAGAAATTTATTACTACTAGTAATAAAATTATTACTATTAAGGTAAATATTTTTCATGGGTCTTACAAGGACTAAATAAATCCATAGTTTCAAAAATAGACTAATTTCAATTTTTACTGAAAATTAAGATACAAAAAACATATTTATTTATTTTCTTTTTCTTCTTTTTTTCCCTCCTCAATCGT